AAAAAAAAAAAAAAAGTTGCGGGTAGGTGGAGGAACAGGCTTTAGGGTAAGGCCAGACTGAATCTACACCCTGCTCTGCCACTTCTGTGCTGTGTGCCCCAGGGCCAGGCACGGTACCTCTCTGAATCTCTTGCTTCCTCATTTTGAAAATTAAGGCATTGGTAGTTCTTACTTCCTGGGGTGTTGTGGAGGTTCAGCCAGTGAATCCACAGAGACACTTAGAATTCTGCCTGGCACAGGCTGAGCCCTCAGTAAAGAACTCAGTAAGTGTTTTATGAAATAAGTAAAAGCTTAATAAACACTTTATTGAATAATAATATAATTTGTATATAGAACTGTGCACATATCATAAGTGTATAGTGTGGTTCATTTTCACAGAGTGGATGCATCTGTGCACCCAGATCAAAAAACCCTAGACCAGCAGTTCTCAAACTTTTTGGCCTCAGGATCCCTCTACACCCTTAAAACTGAGGAATGGATAAACAAGATGTATTATATCCATACAATGGGATTTTATTCGGCCATATAAAGGAATGAAGGGGCTTCCCTGGTGGCACAGTGGTTGAGAATCTGCCTGCTAATGCAGGGGACACGGGTTCGAGACCTGGTCTGGGAAGATCCCACATGCCACAGGGCAGCTGGGCCCATGAGCCACAACTACTGAGCCTGCGCGTCTGGAGCCTGTGCTCTGCAACAAGAGAGGCCGTGACAGTGAGAGGCCCACGCACCATGATGAAGAGTGGCCCCCACTCGCCACAACTAGCGAAAGTCCTCGCACAGAAACGAAGACCCAACACAGCCAAAAATAAATAAATAAAAATAAATAAATTTATTTAAAAAAAAAAAAGGAACGTAGGACTGATCCATGCTATCGTGTGGTTGAATCTTGAAACACTATCCTAAGTGAAAGAAGGCAGAGACAAAAGGCCACATTTTTTTTTTTAAGGCCACATATCGTATGGTTCCATTTATCTGAAATGTACAGAAGAGGGAAGTCTACAGAGACAGAAAGTAGATTAATGGTTTCCAGGGACTCAAGGGGAGGCGGATGCAGGAAATGGGAGGGGGTAACTGCTAACAGGTTAGCAGTGATGAAAATGTTCTGAAATTGATTGTGGTAATAGTTGCACAACTGAATATACTAGAAGCCATTGAACTGTGCACCTTAAAATGGGTGAATTATATCATATATGAATTATATCTCAATACAGCTATTAAAAAACAGAATGAGAACCCCAAGAACTTGTTTATGTGGGGTTGTATTTATGGATATTTGCTGTATTAGAGATTAAAACTGAAAAATATTTTAAACACAAGAATACACACACACACACACTCTCTCTCTCTCTCTCTCTCTCTCTCTCTCTCTCTCTCTCTCTCTCATCAGCCATCAGAGAAATGACAGCATCACAGGTCACAGCTTCTGGAAAACTCTACTGAACACTTGTGGGTGAATGAGAGTAAAAAAGGGCAAATAACATATTAATATTATTATGAAAATAGTTCTGATCTCACAGACCCTCCTAAAGGGTCTCAGGGGCCCCCAGAACACACTTGGAGAATTGCTGCCCTCGTTCTCCAGAAGCTCGTCTCGTGCTGCATTCTGGTACCTCCCCCCTCATTAAGGGTCACCACTGTCTTGGCTTCTGACCCCCTGAGATTAGTTTTGTCTGTTTTTGCTCCTTTATACGCATGTAATCAGACAGTGTATTCTCGTTTGTGTCTGGTTTTTTTGCTCAGCATTCTATTTGAGAGATGCATCCATGTTGCTGTGAGCGGTTGTAGGTTGTTTATTCAATACTGTAATAGTCACCCTGTCACTATTCCACAATTCCTTTGTTTGTTCTACTGATAGTCATTTGGGTTGTTTCCAGTTTGGGACTGTTATGAATAATGTTATTATGAGCCTTCTTGGAGTATCTGTTGGTGGACACATTTATGCCTTTCTCTTGGGAATATACCTAGGAGGCAGATTGCATCAGATATAGGTGTGTGCTTTACTGGAAACTTCCCAGCTGCTTTCCAAAGGGCTTGGGCCATAGCACTCTCATCGGCAGTGTCGGCGTTCAGGTGCTCCACATCTTTGTCAACACTTGGTATTGTCTTTTTTGTCTTAGCCATTCTGGTAGGTATACAGTGGTGTCATACTGATTATTTTTGTGGTTGCCATACTAATGATTATTCTCTCCACCCCAGAGGGAGGCTCCCGGCCAGGCTCCAGCCTTTTCCTTTCGGAGGCCAATGCCGAGCGGATTGTGCAGACCTTGTGTACGGTTCGGGGGGCTGCCCTCAAGGTTGGCCAGATGCTCAGCATCCAGGGTACAGCATAACCCTTGACTCCTGACCCCTGACCTCAGTTCCACCCTACCCCACCTACCACCAAGCCCCAACTTCAGAGACTCCCACAGGGGCCCCTCCTGGCCTCTCTCCTCACTACTTCCCTCTTCCCGATGTCTCCCAAGACAACAGCTTCATCAGCCCCCAGCTGCAGCGCATCTTTGAGCGGGTTCGCCAGAGCGCCGACTTCATGCCCCGCTGGCAGATGCTGGTGAGTGCCCAGAGGGGGAAAGGCTGCCGAGGGAGGCGTGCCCCACCTGCCTGGCCCTCCTGTCTTCATGGCTGTGCTCCCTGTCTCACTCTGAGCCTGTGTCCCCATGTGTTAAATGGGGACCACTAAAGCACACATCTCATAGGATTGTTGTGATGAGTAAATGAGAGCATGATGTAGAGCACTTAGTCGAGCTCCTGGCAGGCTCAGGGCTCTGTCAGGGCTGTTAAAGAGGTGGTGAATGGGCTTCCCTGGTGGCGCAGTGGTTGAGAGTCCGACTGCCCATGCAGGGGACACATGTCCATGCCCCGGTCCGGGAAGATCCCACATGCCGCGGAGCGGCTGGGCCCGTGAGCCATGGCCCCTGAGCCTGCGTGTCCAGAGCCTGTGCTCCGCAACGGGAGAGGCCGCAACAATGAGAGGCCCGCGTACCGCAAAAAAAAAAAAAAAAGCGGTGAAGTGCTGTGGTCAGGGACCAGATTTCGGTATTTCAAACCCTGGCTCTGCCACTTACTACCTGTGCGGTTAGACGTGTGGCCTGCCCTCTCTGTGCTTCAGTTACCCCATCTGTGATTGGTGGTAGTGATAGAAACGGCCACATCATGGGGCTGTGGAAATCAGTGTATGTGTAAAGCACTTTGAAGGGTCCCTGACACCCCGTGAGTGACATGCAGGTGTTACCTGTCCTTATTACCGGTCTTTTAATTAAAGGAGGGAGTGTCTGTAAATAGATTGGCACAGCGCCAGGCACTGAGTAAATGCCTGGGCAGAGGTGTGGAATCCGGAATCCAGCTACCTGCCTTCTGCCCTTGCCATGTGACCCTGGGCAATTACTGCCCTTCTCTGAGCCACTCTATATAGGGCCCAGCCCACAGGAAGCTCTCTGTAAATTTTAGTTCTTCTTTATCACATTAACTTTTGAGTTAATAATACAATATATGGGTATAATGAAGGATTATTATCAATCTTAACCTTACATAATAGCAATCCACACATCAGCCCGCACAGCCTCGGGAGTATGGGCTCAAGCTGGGCCTCCCAGTCTTCCAGCGCCTGGCTCATCACCTTGGTCAAGAGGTCTCTCTCTGAGCCTCAGTTTCCTCATTTGTAAAGTGGGGTAGCGGCCAAGAGCTTGGCCCAGGGCCCCATGTGTGGTGAGCGGGGTTATGAACGTGCAAAGCGCTCAGCACAGAACGTGAACCCGGCTGCCGGAAACCATGATGATGATTGTCATGACCACTATCCCCAGAGAGTTCTGGAAGAGGAGCTCGGCAGGGACTGGCAGGCCAAAGTGGCCTCTTTGGAGGAGGTGCCCTTTGCTGCTGCCTCAATCGGGCAGGTGCACCAGGGCGTGCTGAGGGATGGGACAGAGGTGGCCGTGAAGATCCAGGTGAGAGGGGAGGTGGGGCGGAGATGGGCTGGGCACCCGGCCGCCCCAGAGGGGTGACTCCCATCCTCCTCCCCTCCTCCCCTCCCAGTACCCAGGCGTTGCCCAAAGCATCCAGAGCGACATCCAGAACCTGCTGGCGGTGCTCAAGAGGAGCGTGGCCGTGCCGGAGGGTGAGGCGCCCAATCCACCCTGACTGTGGGAGGGTCACCCTGAAGAGGGAAAGCGGGGCTAGATGGGGGGGGCAGGGGGAGGTGGAGGGCCAGCTCGGGGCAGGGTGTGCCCTTGTGTGTGTGAGCGTGAGTGAACGCCTCAGCCTGTGTGTTTGAGACAGAACAAAGGGACACCAAGGCGGGGAAAGCCCAGAGTAGTATGGGCGTGTGAGAAAAAGACAAACTCAGAGATGCCAACAGGAGCCCAGACAGAAATCCAGAAACAGACACACAGGGGGTGTGTGGAGAGGGACTGGAGGCCTGAGAAAGAACCACAGAAACAGGAAGGGAGCGTAAGTGGGACCTCGCGTGTGTGTTACAGCATGTGAGACAGCGCCTGGGGGAGATGGAGCAGAGGTGTGTGTGTGTGCACGCACACGAGAGAGCGAGCGAGGGAGAGAGAGAGGAGAGAGGGAGAGTCAGGCCCAGAGGTAAGCTTCAGAGACACTGAGAGCAGTGTGAGAGAGTGTGAAAAAAAGGACAGAGAAGGACTTCCCTGGCGGTCCAGTGGTTAGGACTCCATGCTGCCACTGCAGCGAGCCCAGGTTCGATCCCTGGTCAGGGAACTAAGACCCCACATGCCACGAGGTGCGGCCAAAATATTTTTAAAAAAGAAAAATGGACAGAGGATAGGTGGCAGATGTGACTCTGACAGGGGCCTAAGGACCGCTGTGTGTGCCTGAGAAAGAGACCTGAGCAGAGAGGCTTCCGTGGAGCCCGCAGTTGTATGAAGGACAGAGGGGGAGTGCGTGGCCAGACAGTGTGGGTAAAAGGCATGGAGCGGACGGGGTGAGGGACGGTGAGAGAGGGACAGAGTGAGAGGCATGACTGGCAAGAGAAGACATCCCTGAGTGGGAGCCTGAGGGGTTGGGCAGGGGGCGAGGGGCAGGCTGTGGCCTTCCCTGCCTGACACGGCTGCCGCCCCTCAGGCCTGTTTGCAGAGCAGAGCCTGCAGGCCTTGCAGCAGGAGCTGGCTTTGGAATGTGACTACCGTCGTGAAGCGGCTTGTGCCCAGAACTTCAGGTGAGCTGAGGCCCCTACAGGCCCCTGGAGGCCCCCTTCCTCCCTCCAGCTTCCGTCCCGGACTGAGAGGGAGGTGGATGCCCTCACAGCCTCCGGCAGCTGGAGCCCTGGGGTAGGGCTGGCAGACTTTCTCTTCATTTGTTCATCCATCCATTCCTTCACTCATTACTTCATTCACACCCTGTGTCCTCTATGAGCTTAGGCAGGTCACTTCCTCTCTCTAAATGTCTCTACTTTCTCATCTGTCAAATGGGACGTAGAACCACTGCGGTCTGATGGGGGAGACAGACTTGTCAACAGGCACTCCGCCACACGAGATACCGTTACACCCACCAGACTAACAGAGATGAAGCAGTCTGTCTGTGTCAAGAGCTGGAGAGAACGGGGCTCCAGGTCCAGGGCATCCTTTGTACACTGGACAGAGGGAGAAATTGATACAAGCATTTTGGAGAAAGGTTGGGCATCATCAAGCCTCAGTGTTCACATCCAGCCCAACAGTTGCCCTCCTGGCTAAATACTCTAGTGACCCTTAATGTCAGTACACACCATCAGACTTTTCCAGAATACTCAGAGCAGCAATAGCCCCAAACTGGAAACAACCCAAATCTATCAAATTCATCCAACAGGGTGGATAAATAAGTTATGGTATGTTCATCAGCACAATTCATACAGCATCAAAAATGAATGAACTACAGCTATATGGAACAGTGGTTGTATCTTAGAGGCATCATGATAAGTGGCAATTAATTACACCTCAGTGAGACCTTCCACGGCGTGGAGCATGGCCCACACGTTTACTGAGCCCGGCTCTGTAGATACGAAGCCAGAGAAAGGGCAGTAGAAGGCAATGGTTAGGAGCATGGGCTCAGATGTGGGATCCAGTCAGGATCCAGTCCTAGGTCAGACCTTAACAGGCTGGGTGGCCTTAATCTGCCCAGTGGCCTTAGGAGAGCGTCCTCTACAGGGGAAGTGAGGATAAAAGGGAATTGTGCTGACCGAATGCTCAGCAGAGCCCTGCCCTGTGAGGAGCGGATCAAATGTCAGAGATTTGATAAACAAGGACAAAAATACAAGCCCCCAAAGCAGGACGTGGAGATGGAGAGTGTCAGGTGGGCTGGGCCAGAGCACTCCAGTGTGGGATCTGGGGAGACCACCACCTCACGGGATTTCCCACTGCTCTCAGGATAAAACACACATCATTTCTCATTTCCCCGGCTCCTCCCCATCTCCCTGTCCGCCCACCCCCCAACTCCAGCCATCCCACAGGTCCCCAACCAGAGGCCTCGCTCATATTCTTTGCCTCCCAAATCTTGCATTGACACACCTATCTCAATCTGTTATTGGTCTGTTTGTTAGAGTGTGGTCTCTGCTGTGTGTGTGGGGGGGTCACGCCTGGGGCTCATCTACTGCTCTGTCACCCAGCATCATCCAGCACAGGGATGGACACCGAGAAAGGTTCTTTCCCTTTATTAGCCAGTGTTCAGAATAATGACTCCAAGGAGTGGCCAGTGAGTATCACTGTGGACTCGGAGATTTGTATATGAGTGACTAGTTTTTGGATGGATTGATTGATAAGTTGATGAGAAAGTAATGCTCATCAAGCTTAATTAATACACTGAGTTCATCCTGGGGCGACCAACAGAGAAGTGTTTCTGGAAGGGAGGTGGTAATTGGGTCCCCAGCAGCACCCAGCTTAGGGGCAGACACAGAGTGGGTGCCATGGAGATATTTGGTGAATGAGTGAATGAATGAATGTCAATCCAACCAGGTATTGGCCATCACTCCAGACAGACAGGAAAGAGAAGGGCAGGAGGAAAGGCAAGACAAAGACTGTTCATGGAAGACTCCTCAGAGGAGGGGGAGGCCTCAAGCAGGACCACAGGGCCTGAAGTGTGAAGTCCCATCCCCACCCCTCCCATCTGCCCCAGGCAGCTGTTGGCAGACGACCCCTTCTTTCGGGTGCCAGCCGTTATTCAGGAGCTGTGCACGACGCGGGTGCTGGGCATGGAGCTGGCTGGAGGCGTCCCGCTGGACCAGTGCCAGGGCTTGAGCCAGGACATCCGGAACCAGGTACATGGGTCTCGTGGGACAGTAGGGAGGGTGCTGCTCTGAGTCACAGCTGACAGGGCAACCCAGACCCATGGTCCCTCTCCAGGCCTCAGGGCTTTACAGGGGCACCTGGCTCTGAGATGTCTGTTACTCCTTCCCACCCCAGATCTGCTTCCAGCTCCTGAGGCTTTGTCTTCGGGAGCTGTTTGAGTTCCGATTCATGCAGACGGACCCCAACTGGGCCAACTTCCTGTATGATGCCTCCAGCCACCAGGTTGGTTCCTTGTGTTGTGTGTCAGGGTACATTAGCTGCTGTAACAGATATTTCCCAACATGGCAGTAGCTCAACACAGTAGTAGTTGATTACCCATGTAACAGGCTGGAGTGGCCCTCCTCCATGCAGTGAGTCAGGAACCCAGGCTCCTTCCCTTTTGTGAGTGTGCCATCCCCTAGGACTTGAAAGGCTCTCCTTCCAGTGCAAGGGGAAAGAGAGGTTGAGAGGGTAACCCACTCTCTAACTGCTTTGGCCGGAAGTGACCCATAGTTCCCTCCACCATTCCGCTGATAAGAACTGGTCATGGGGCTAGTCTAGATGCAGGGGATGCTGGGAAATGGAGTCCCTGACTAGGCAGTGGCTTCCTAGTGGCAGTGGAGAAGAGGGAGCACCACTTTTGCAAGACAGTCATCATTACCACACCCATCATTCATTTAGAACACACCAAGCACCTACTGCCTCTTGAAAGTGTTGCCAAGACAACCCTGATCCTTGCCTTCCCAGAGTTCCCAGTCCAATGCAGGGACCCATCACCAGAAAGTGTGACCTGTAGTTGATACCTTGATGAGGAAGCACGGGTGAGGGGCCAGTGATGGGGGAGGCACAGGGGGCGGTGGGAAGCCAGGAAAAGTGGCCGACCCTGCCTGGAGTGGGTGGGGTCAAGGAAGGTGAAAGCAGAAAGACGAGAAAGACAGCCATCTAAGGGGCAGGGAAGAGCATACTTGGCAAAGGACACAGGCTGTCCAGAGGCCTGGGGGGTGACAGTTTGGACTGAAAAACTCTCAGCGTGCGTGGTTGCTAAGTGGCTCTCCAAAGTGGTCTGTGCCATTCTGTCCCCAGAGGGGTCTTTCTAAAACACAAATCTGGCCAAGCTGTCCTGTCTACAGCTTCCAACACCCTCAGGATCAAGTGAGCCCTGTGCTGAGTGTGACATGACCCCACTTAGTCCAGCCTCAGTCCCTTGACACCCTCTTCCCCCCAAGTGCTCAGACAACCTGCATCCTTCCAAGGCTCGCACCCCAGGGGGGGTGTTTTCCTTTCTCGGGTGTGGTGATAGGAGGCCTGATGTCAATTTACAGGGTCTCAACAGCAGTTTTTGTTTTAAAAGGACAGAATGTGTTGCAGATGGGAGGGATGCATATTATTTCAGGACACTTTTGTTTTATGTTTATATGTGCATGTGCACTGGTGCCCAGGATAATCTGCATTTCTTTTCTTTTTTATAACTTTATTTTATTTATTTTATTTATTTATTTTATTTATTTTTTATTTTATTTTATTTATTTTATTTATTTATTTATTTTATTGGGTCTTCATTGCTGCTCGTGGGGTTTCTCTAGTTGTGGCGAGCGGGGGCTACTCTTTGTTGCGGTGGGTGGGCTTCTCACTGCGGTGGCTTCTCTTGTTGCAGAGCATGGACACCAGGCACGTGGGCTTCAGTAGTTGCAGCACGTGGGCTCAGCAGTTGTGGTGCGTGGGCTCTAGAGCACAGGCTCAGTAGTTGTGGCACACGGGCTTAATTGCTCCACAGCATGTGGGATCTTCCTGGCCCAGGGCTTGAACCCATGTTCCCTGCATTGGTAGGCAGATTCTTAACCACTCCACCACTAGGGAAGCCCCTAATCTTCATTTCTTACTGTGGGTTATGATAAACAGTTTGAACTCCACTGTTGTAGAGAAACTTACACACAGGTTCATGGGGTACTGCTTTTTTTTTTTTTTTGCGGTACACGGGCCTCCTCTCACTGCTGTGGCCTCTCCCGTTGCGGAGCACAGGCTCCGGACGCGCAGGCCCAGCGGCCATGGCTCACGGGCCCAGCCGTTCCGCGGCATGTGGGATCCTCCCGGACCGGGGCACGAACCCGTGTCCCCTGCATCGGCAGGCGGACTCCCAACCACTGCGCCACCAGGGAAGCCCTTTTTTGCCGTCTTTTAAACATTTCAACTTTATTTGGTTCATTTTATCTGCATTCTTTATTTATTTTAAATTTTTTAAATTTATTTATTTATTTATTTTTGGCTGCATTGGGTCTTCGTGGTGGTGCGCGGGCTTCTCCTGTTGCGGAGCATGGGCTCTAGGTGCATGGGCTTCAGTAGTTGTGGTGCATGGGCTCAGTAGTTGTGTCTCGCGGGCTCTAGAGTGTAGGCTCAGTAGTTGTGGTGCACAGGCTTAGTTGCTCCGCGGCATGTGGGATCTTCCCAGACCAGGGATCGAACCCGTGTCCCCTGCATTGGCAGGCGGATTCTTAAAACCACTGCGCCACCAGGGAAGTCCCTTTTTTTTGAATTTTTGAATTTTATGTTATTTATTTTTTTATACAGCAGGTTCTTATTAGTTATCTGTTGTATACATATTAGTGTATAGATGTCAATCCCGATCTTCCAGTTCATCCCACCACCACCGCCCCACCCTGCCCCTTTCCCGCCTTGGTATCCGTACGTTTGTTCTCTACATCTGCGAGCACTGCTTCTAATAGCAAAACCTAGAAATAACCACAGTGCCCATCAAGCAGATAAATATGATATATTCATGCAACAAAATCTTACATGGTGGTGAAAAAATGAATGAATGAGCTAGAGCAATGAGGATGAAGTGCAAAACCATGTCGAACACAAAGAACGTGCAGAATAACTATTATAAATACCATTTACATGACGTTTTAAAATATGCAAAACATTAGTATGTTTTGTTCATGGATCCACATATGTATAGAAAACATAGCAACACATGCATGGGAATTTCAGGAAACAATTTAATAATAAAAATAATTTCAGGAAAGTGGTGACCCTGGAAGAGAGGGTGGGGATGGGGGGAGGTAGGATCAGGCCCCACTTAGATTGGTAGTATTTTATATTTTAAACTGGGTGGTAGGATTTGTGGGTGTTGGTTTTACTTTCCCATGTATTTTATTATTCTCCAGATTTTTTTTTCTGAGCCTAAAACATGTTATTATAAAAACAACTAGGACCCCCAAAATAAAAACCAGGTCCCTTCAGCTTCATGTGAGGGTGGATTGATGTGTGGAGACTGGAAGCCAGGAGCCCAGGGGAGGCAGCTGGGCGGGGACTTGGGCCGGAGGGGCAGCATGTGGGGAGAGAGGGACAGACCCTGGCACCCCCATAGACAATGGGGAGCACTGGTGGACTCCCAGTGTCCCTTTCACCATCCTTCATTTCCAGGTGATCTTGCTGGACTTTGGTGCAAGCCGGGAATTTGGGACTGAATTCACAGACCATTATATCGAGGTGAGTTCCCCCAATCCTGGTGTCTCTGAAGGATCGAGCCTCAAGCCAGATAGTATGGCTTGTAGAGAAGGAGAAACACAATATCTGGAATGAAGAAATAAATAATAGTGATATTAATAGCAGCTAACAAATACCAAGCACTTAATATTATGTCAGGCACCGTTTTAAGTGCTGTACATGTGGTAACTGATCTGAACCAGAAAGCAACCTTATGAGGTGAGGACCATTTTTAACCCCATTTTACAGAGGAAGTAACTGGGGCTCTGAGACGTTAAGTCACTTGCCCAAGGTCACAGCAGACCTGGGATTCAAACTCAGGGAGTCTGATTACACAGCCCATGTTCCCAACCCCTCACTAGCTGCCTCCTAAGAGAAAGGCCCACGATGGCCAGGCTGTCACCTCGCCACACCCGATGCCGTCCAGGGCCTTGGTGTCCAGCCTTGTGCTCACATACTGCCCCTCCAGCTGCTCCCTAGTGAGCAGTTCTCTCTTTGAGAAGTGTTTCCTTACTTTATGTTGCCCGTCCTTCCCACCCACAGAGGTTGATTTGTCTCAGAGCCCACAGAAAACACCATCTCATTAATTTGTTGAGATTGGACATTTGACCTGGGTCTTTTTTTTTTTTGGTTGTGTTGAGTTCATTGCTGCATGAGGGCTTTCTCTAGTTGTGGCGAGCAGGGGCTACTCTTTGTTGCGGTGCGCGGGCTTCAGTAGTTGTGGTGCACAGGCTCAGCAGTTGTGGCCCACGGGTTTAGTTGCTCCGGGCATGTAGGATCTTCCCAGACCAGGGCTTGAACCCGTGTCCCCTGCATTGGCAGGCGGATTCTTAACCACTGCACCACCAGAGAAGTCCCTCAACCCAGGCCTTCTAATCACTGGGTCATCAATTCAAACGTTCTCTGACCCCCCTCTGTGCCTAGTCCTATTCTAGACGATACTGGGGACAACAGTGACCAATGCAGTCCAGGTCTCTGCCTTCACAAAACCCCCAGTCCAGTAGGGGGACAGACAGAAAGGACCAGAGTGGTCAGGGCTGGGATGGGAGAATCACGGGGGACTGAGGGAGACCGGATGAGGAGCCTGGCCTGACCTAGGGGGTCAGGGAGGGCTTCCTGGGGGAGAAGACATCAGAGTTGAGACCTGAGGGATGAGGAGACCAATCAGGAAGAAGCTAGGAGGGTATTCCAGACAGATAACCTGGGCAAAGGCCAAGGGGTAGAAAAGGATATTCCGACTAGAGCAGCACTTCTCAAACTTTAATGTGCATGAGAACCCCACCACCACCATGATCATGTTAAAATGCAGATTGTGGTCTGGAGTTAGGCTTAAGATGCTGCCTTTCTAACATGCTCCCAGGTGATGCCAAAGCTACTTGTACAGGGACCACACTCTGAGTAGTAAGATCCTAGAGGACCAAAGGGAAGTTCACATTTGGACTGGGCAGGCAGGTGGGGACAGAGCAGGAGCCAGCAGTGAGGCTGGAGCCCAGTCACTCTGGGTCTCTGAAGCCATGCTTTGCAGCTTGTACTTTATTCGGGTGCCCTGGGGAGCTGTGGAAGGGATTGGAGCAGGGGAGGGACATAGAATTTGGAAATTCCTGAATAACGAGTGGTCTTTTAAGACAGGCCTGGAGCCTGGGTGGGTGGGGGTTGGAGGGTGTTCTGGCCTGAGGACTGGGGGATGGTGGGGCCACCCTTTAGATGGGGATGAGAAGGAATTGGTAACCCCCCCCACACACACACAGAGGCTCCTAGGGGCCCTCTCTGCAGGCTACTCGAGGCACAAAGCCGAGGCCTCTCTGGGTAGTTGGGACATCCCCTGCCCCTCCCCACCACAGGCCTGTTCAGCACGGCCCTCCTGCCACCTCCCCAGCCTTTTCCAGTTTAAGAAAGGCCTGTCACACTGACCCCCCAAGGACCACAGGCGTGACAGATGGCCAGACAGGCTGGGGCAGGGGGAGCTGGGACAGAACAGAACCGCCAGATTTAATCCTGTATTCCCCTTCTTCCCAAGAAGGGGCAATTCAGTGGTGAAGGGTTCGTCCCAGTTCCCCTCCTCTCCTTGCTATTCCCCACTCTGAGCCTGTTTCCTCGTCTGTGGAGTAGGGACCCTCCTATTTACCTCTTAATAGGAATAGTAGCTCATAATATTTATGGCCTTTCCTACACGCGGGCACCGTGCGAAGCACTCCACAGATAATACCTCCTTCATCCTCCAAGAACCCGGCAAGGAAGATGCTTTCATCATCCCCACTTCACAGATGAGAAAGCAGAGGCCCAAAAAGCAAAGCGACTTGCCCCAGAGTCAGCCAGCAAGTGGCAGAGCTGAGATGGAGCCCAAGCAGGCTGGCTCCCACTTCTGTCTGTCCGTGTGCCCTCAACTCCTGCCCATCCTGCGTGGCTGGAGAGCTGCTTAGCTCCAAACACTGATTTGCTAAACAAGGGGTTTTCACCAAAGGCCTCCTGAGTGAGCGCCACTTGGGACTAAACCCAGCTGGGATCCCTGCCTTCCTGGGGCTCCAAGTCCAGGGCAGGAACCCGGCATCAACAGACATCAACCAGGTGATCACAGAGATGGCAACCTCAGAGGCAGTTCTGGGTCATGATCACATACTTGCCCAATTAAGTGTTTGGACCCACGGGTACCACTTGACATCTGCTTTCCTCTCTGCTGTTTCACTGTGGTAGTTTCCAGGCGGCTCTGCCTTCCCAGCCAGGTGGGCAGAACACCTGACCACTGCAGCCCCCAGGCTCTGGAACAGTCTTGAGAGAGAGACAGACAGGGGTAAGGTGGGGAAGGAGAGGCTTCTAGGTGAGAGGGCTTAGGTAGATGAGAACAGAAGTGGGTACTGGCAGGAGCCAGCTTCTAGCTCCCACCTCCAGGCCCTCCTTGAATCCCTCTGACCCTGTGCCCACATCCATCTCCCCAGGTGGTGATGGCTGCAGCCAACGGAGATAGAGACCGGGTCCTGCAGAAATCACGAGACCTCAAATTTCTCACAGGCTTTGAGACGAAGGTTGGGAGAGTAGGGGCTGGTGTCTCTTGGGGGGAGTGGGGAGCTGCTTCTCTCTACTGGGGAAACTGTGGATGAGTGAGGAACTCTTAAGGGGGCTGCTTATCTGTACCGGGGGTTCTGGGGAGCATGAGGGAATGGGGGCTGCTTGGCTACTCAGGAATCCTGGGAAAATGGGCACCACTTATCTGTTGTAGAGGGAGGAATGGGGGACTGCTGGTAGATACCGGGGGGTCGGGGAACAGAGGCTGCTTCTCTGTTCTAGAGAGAGTGAGGGTTATTTGTCTACTGGAGGCCCTGAGAGGACAGGAAGGGCCCTTTCTTTTGGGAGGAGTAGGGGGCTGCTTGTCTCTTAGGGGCTCTGGAAGGGGTGGAGGCTGCCTATTACTCTTTGGGGAGTTGGGGGCTTGTGTTTCTACTTGAGACTCTGGGGGAATGGAGGGCTGTATGTCCACACTGGTTGCCTCTGGTTTCCCCGACCCCTAGGCATTCTCGGATGCCCACGTGGAGGCCGTGATGATCCTGGGGGAGCCTTTCGCCACCCAGGGCCCCTACGACTTTGGAGCGGGTGATACTGCCCGCCGTGTGCAGGACCTCATCCCTGTGCTGCTGCAGCACCGGCTTCGCCCACCGCCTGAAGAGACCTATGCCCTGCACAGAAAGCTGGCAGGGGCTTTCCTGGCCTGTGCCCGCCTCCATGCCCACATCGCCTGCCGGGACCTCTTCCAGGACACCTACCACCGCTACTGGGCCAGTCGCCAGGCATAGCCACTGCCCGAAGCCTCCTAACCAGAGGGATGTCTGCTCCGACCCCTCAGAGACTCCATCTCGGGATTCCAGCCCCATAGCAGGCCATCCCCTGCTCTGAGGCCTCCTTTCCTCTCTGCTGCAGGTCTGGGGACCCACCTTGGGCTTGGGACTAGGGAACTCCAGCTTCATAGCCCCGTATCCTGCTCTCCCCACTCCAAAGGGAGCATCCAGGAACTCCACCCAGCTATTAATTTATGTCTGCCAACATGTGAGAGAGCCTTAGGCCCTTCCACACTGCCATTGTGGAGATCAGACTCACCTAGACTGGGAGCCCCTGACCTCTGCGTCGGGTCTCCCCCAAATGTGGCCCGTGTTTGAACCTTCGGTCCTAATAAAAGTGGCCCTCCCCTTCCCCCAGCTCTTTTCTCTGCGCTGAGGTGGGAGGGAGAGGAGCTCGCAGGCTGCCTCCAGGTGCAGATGGCCAGCCCCCCTCCTACCCTGTTGTCTGAAAGCCCCAGTCCTGCCTGGGCCATCTGTTGCGGGGACCCTCCTTCTCCCCTTTCCCTCCCCCCCACCCTGCCCCTTCCGCACGTGCTGACCACCTGCTCCGAAGGCTGTGGCAGCTGAGAAGGCCTCCCACCCCCACCCCCCGGCTCCGCCACAACACACACACCACCTCCCAGCCTCCTGGCTCCCTCCACTCGGCTCCCAGCAACCTCGCTTTTGCTAATGGGCCTTAATGCCCCTGCCAGCTGCTTTGCCAAACCCACAGGATTGGGCGGGTGCGGGGTCACTTGGGCGGCCAGAACCGCTCCCCGGTCCCAGCCTGGCGCCCCCGCCCCCAAAGCTGAACCGATCACGCACCAGGACGCCGGGGTCTGTTCATTCCCCCTCCTTTCCTGGCAAAAGTGCCTCGTCACCGCTTCTGCCCGCCCTCGCTGGGCTGGGAGAACCGTGGGGTTAGCTGGAAGATTTGGGGATGAGGGACCGCGAGGCGCCTTCCGAAGCAAATCTTTCGAACACGGAACTTAAGGGGATCTGAGGTCAGGGGTCACGGAGCGGAAGGGAGCCCACGCCTGGATGGACCTAGGGGAACATGTCAGTGAGATTCACGTGCGTGCTCAGCCCAGGACTGGCCAGTGGGTGTGGCGGGGCGATGGCCACACCGGAGGAGGCGGAGTCGTGATTGCGTATAGGCGTGGCCTGCTGGTCAAGGGGCGGGGTCTCTGCATATCCAGCAGGCGGCAGGGCTGGGGCGGGGAGCCGAAGCGGGAGGGGCGCTCCCCCGCCCCTGGAACGGAATCCTCCCGGGAGCGGAGCAGGCTAGCGAGCTTGCATCCCGCACCATACCCCTGCCCCCGGCCCCGGCCCGCGTCAGACCGAGCTGCCGCCGCCGCCACAGCAGCAGCAGCACTCGGGGATCTGGGCCCAGCCGGGGCCGCGGGAGGCGGGGGCGCCGGAGCCCTGGATGTCCCGCAGCGCGGCGGCCAGCGTGAGAAGGGCGGGAGAAGGGGGCTCGGGTCGGGGGCGGCGCCGCTGCTGATGTGGCGGAGGGTGGGAGGCGGCCGCGGCGCCCGGATGGAGAGAGGGTGCCAAGGCTGGGGAGGGTGGTCCTGGGTGGGGGTCCAGGAATCGGCTCCCCTCCAAGCCAGATCTTGGGAGACAGGGGTCTCGGGCACAGGCCTTGTCTTGCCAAGGCTCTGGAGATACGGATCCCAGACACAGACCTCCCCCTTCAAAAAAATCAAGGACAGGGGGACAGATTCTAGGTACAACTCCCCAAGCAAGATTTTGGGGATGGGGTCTGGGACGCAACCTCCTTAACAAGTCAAGGCCTCTAAGAGGGGATTCCAGACCAGACGCAATCCTTAACCCCTACCGGCCTGAGGGGCTCTCTGAGCACAGCAACCCTCTAGGCAAGGTCTTGAGGATGGGGTCCCCGGGCCCCCACAGCTTCCCCACCAAGCCAAGGCCCGGGGGGATTCCTGGCACAGTCCGTCCCCAGGCCTCAGAGGCGTCCGGGGCACAGCATCCCCCCATGCTTGGGCGGCGTCCCAGGAACAGACCCTTCTCAAAACAAGGTCTCTGTACCTGGGACTCTATCCCCCACAAGCCTGAATAAAATTAGGGAAATTTCAGGCAACCCCACACACAAAAAGGCTTGGTCAAGGGTCCCAGGGCACAGGTCTCCTGGGCCACCCTCTTTGTCCCTGGGCTGCCCAGCTGTCTGGGAGGGGCCCCACGCACAGACAATGCACCTCCTCCCCATCCGGTTCTGGCCCCCCAGGCTCCAGGATTCAGGCTGGGCCAGGGGGCGGCTCCCCAGGGACCTGGTGCAGCCCTATCTGTCTGCAGCGTCTGCGGTGATGATGGCTTTGTGTACCTGGGTGGAAGCGGGGAAGCAAGCGATGGGGAGGTGGCTAAGAGTGTGACCCTGTGTTTTTGTGACTGTGGCTGCCTGTGTGTGTATGTGTGTGAGCTGCAGCTGGTGACTCTGAGGAATCGTGTGTTTCGTGCTTGTGGTTGTGTCTGATAGCGTCTGTGATTGTGTCTCTGTATGTGACCCCAGCATTTGTGTGGTTGTGTATGTGTATATGACAGCTGCTCGCTCACTGTGCAGAACCCTATACTTTTCAGTCTGTCTGTGTTTGAGTGTGTGCATGGTTGTGACTATGTGGTTGTGTCTTTATGTCTTTTGTGACCCCATGTATGTACCTTGGTAACTCTAACTGGGTATGTGACAGTGTATCTGTTGAGTATGGGGTTGGGCATGTGCGTGGCTGACTGAAGATGTGGGTGGAGTTGTGACTATAAGTGGAGTTGTGTCTATGACTCTGTGTCCATGTGCGACTGTCCTGATGACTTCGAATGTTTGTGACTGTGTCTCTAACTGATTTTGTATGTGTGTCACACATGTGCTTGTATGACACACAACTGTGCCTGCAGCTTTAGGTGTATGACTGCCATTGTATATGAAGTCACATTGTGCTTATGTGACAGGTTGTGTGCTGGCACTGTGACTTATATGTTTGCAGTTGTGTGTTCAAAGCCACATCTATGTGTGTGGCCGGGATTGTATAAATGACTACATCTAGGTCTGTGTGTTGATACTGAGTGATTCTGTGCATTTATAGTTGTGTACCTGTGATTTGGGTTATGTATTTGACTTGGAGTCTGAAACCCTGACAGACTATTAATAGTGGGTTATTTCATTGCATGTGACTCAAACTATAGGTGTGTCTGTGGTGGCACCAGTGATTGTGTGTGTGTGGGGGGGATGTGTATGTGACTGTGGCTTCTGTATTTGTGTGTGACCTGCATGTCTGTGACGCTGGGTGACTCTATATACTTATGTCTGTGTCATGGTCTGTAAGAGTGTGTGTCTGTAGCCGTGTGGCTGTTGGGGTGGGTGGGTGGGTGTCCCTGTATGCGTGCTGGGCGGCTTATGTTTGAATCTGTGTGATTTGGTGACAGAGTGACTGTCTCCTGACTCCACACATGACTCTATCCAGAACTGTGTCTTCTGTGTAAACACAGCTATAAATGCTCTGTCTGGGTCACTGTATTTCTAAGCACATACCTGACTGTTTGCTTGTGTGTGTGTAATGGAAATTGTGTGCTGATGCCTCTGTGTGTGAGATATTATGTGTCTCTCCACATGGGGGCTGTGATCGTATGTGGCCCCATACTTGTTGGTGTGACTTACGTGTTTGCAGGAAGAGAGACCGCGTGTTTCTCTGTGATGGTCTGACATGGTACAGCTGGGGGTGGGATGGTGGGTAACTGTGAAATAGGTACCATGACCATGATATATGGCTGGGTAACGTGGACACTCATGCTGTGGGACTTTGCATACATGACCGTTTCTGAAATGCGTATGGGTGTGACTCTGAGCCACTGACTGTCTGGCTGTGTCTGAGTGTGTCCGTCTTTGGGGAGAACTGTCTCTGGATGGTTGTATGCATGTCCTGAGTTTGTGCGCCCATTTCTCTCTAATGCATGGGCCGTGGCCATCGGGGTCTGTGTGTGTGCTTGGGTATGGAGAACCATCCATATACGTGGGGCTGATACCATGACCAAATGTGTTCCTCTATGACTGGGATGTATGGCTGTGTGACAGTGTGTGACCAAAAACATGTGTTGGTGTGACTGATACAGTTGGGGTTGAGTGTCCTTGTGCAGCTGTGTGCTGGTCGATGATTAAACACATGTGGCTGTGGCTGGGTGTGACTTGGTATGACCAAATGTGTGTCAGTATGTCTGCATGCATCCCTGACCAGATGTCAACAGGCAGCAAGGGAGCTGTATGTGACAAGTGTGTGTGCCTCAGAGCTAATAGGTGACCTCCTGCAGGGTGTGATTCTACATGGGTGGGTCTGTAATGTGAGTATCTTGGTTGGGTGCCCGAGGAAACAACTGTCATTGGTTGGCCATGGGCTGCCCCAGTGGGTGTGCCCAGACCCAGCTCTTTGTATATGGCAGAGAAAAGAGAAGTGACAAAATATCAGTTACTGATATGACCAGACATTTGTGGCAGTGCCTGGGCAGCCTGGGACTCTACATACCTGTGGACAAATGGTCTGTAGCAGAGACTGTATGTCTTTGAACTTGGAGATGTGGCCAGGTATTTACAGTGGCTGTGACTGTGGTGTTTCTGCATGATCCAGTGTGTGTCACTGTGGTCGTCTCTGTGTGTAATTGTGCAGAGCTGTGATCAGGTTCTAGGGACAACTGGGGACTAGAGTTGCATGTACACATGTGACTGTATGTGTGTGTGCAGCCCTGGACATGTGTCTAATGATCCAGTGTGTGTCACTGTGGTCGTCTCTGTGTGTAATTGTGCAGAGCTGTGATCAGGTTCTAGGGACAATTGGGGACTAGAGTTGCATGTACACATGTGACTGTATGTGTGTGTGCAGCCCTGGACATGTGTCTAGAGGGCAGGCCACCCCCCTTCACACCATCCCCTTGGGTACAGACAGCCTCCTGAGGCCAGGACATCCCCAGCAGATGCTCCCGAAACACACCTACTCATTCCTGGGCCCTTGCAACCAGGTGGCTGATTGCCTTAGTAACAGTTGCTATGACAACCAGGGCTCTCATCAGAGATCCTGAGATGAAGGGGGGTTGGCTGATGTCCAAAGAGGGGGTGAGGTAGGGGACTGCGCCCTATCCCAAGCCAGCTTCTCAACTTTTCCTCCCTCCCCTGGGCAGGGCGGACCCAGGAGGCCAGAGCAGCATCTGCCCCCTGCCCCCTGTGGGGCCCTGGGGCCCCCTGAAACCTCCAGGACGGAGCCAGGTGAGTGGCCAGCTGGGGACAGGGCGAAGGCTGAGTGACTGGGTGGGTCTGCCTCACATAGCCAAAGGAACTGTCCCTGCGGTCACACAGGCTTAATCACACTCACAAATGGACACCCCCAAATGACTTCCCGGCACACTCAGTGACCTCGTTCACAGACACACCCACCTAGACTAGGTCTCACACACACTCACACACACACACACACACACACTTGGACACTCAGACACACACCAACATCCCCACACCCATAGGTTCACGGTCACACAAACATACAGACACAATCCTAGACAACAGCCAGACTCCCTCACAGGTGAGCACAGACACTCACCAGATACAGACTCAGGGACTCTCAAGGGATGCAAAAAACAGCTACACTTCTGCACACAGACACAGTCTCACATATAACAGCACTCTCATAGACAACAGCCACATTCTCACACCATCACACCCTCACAAATAACACTCACAAACACACTCTCAAAGATGACAACCTCATGTCCTCACACACCCTCACAGATGCACAGTTGCATACAGACACACCCCCAGAACAACACTCACGGACCCACATTCTCTGCAACAACACCCACCTTATCTGACCCAGACACACCCCCACAAACAACAGCCACAGACACACAGCCTCACCACCAACAGCTGCACTCTTGGACAGATGTGGTATCTTGGGTAACTCTCACAGACACACACTGTCATGGGCAGTGGTTATCAAAGACAATAGCCACATCTTCACACAGACACACAGCTTCAAAGACAACAGTCATGGACACACCCTTTCAAAGACAACAGCTTCATGCTCAAACACAGACCCATCCTCACAGGCAACATTCCCTGACTCACACTCCCACCACTCTCACACATAGCTACTCTTCAGCCACAAGCTTCAGGGACCTACACTCACAGATGACAGCCACACTCTTGGACATCCCCTCACAGACAGCATTCACAGACACATACTCTCATCAACAACCATTCTCAGACCTGTGTCCTTCCGTACAGCCTTCAGCTATATACACACTCACAGACAATAGGTGCATGCTCAGAACTAGACACCCTCACACACAACACTCAGGAACACACCAGGGAATTCCCTAGTGGTCCAGTGGTTGGGACTCTGCTCTTTCACTACCAAGGACATGGGTTCGATCCCTGGTCGGGGAACTAAGATCCTGCGAGCCGCACAGTGAGGCCAAAAAAAAAAAAAAAAAAAGGAACACACCAGCTGCACGCTTGCTTGCACACACAGGTGGAGTCTCATCTGTTGGTGCTCTGTCCTAGGTGTCCCCTCACACTCCTCCTGGGACTCAGTATGGCTTCTCAGTCAGCAAAGGCTGTCTTAGTGACTGGCCACCACCTCCATCCCTACCTCTGACATCACAGGTGCACGCCTCCCCAGGGGCCTCTGCCTCAGAACAGACACATTTGTCAGAGGAGCTGTATCTCAGAGTTGCAGAGACCCACCCCTGTCCCCAGCACCCTATGGCCTGGGCTCTGAACCGCAATCCCTGGACCTTCTGAGTCCCCCACATCGGACCCATGCAAGTCTCAACTCCCGGGCCCTCTGACCACCTCATCCCCTGACCTTGTACCCCTAAAACCCCTGACCTCGTGACCCCTGACTGCTATGCCCTCTAACCCCAATGTCCTCCACTGCCTTAACTTCCCATTACTTTGGATCATCATGCCTCTTGACTGTCACATCCCGAATCTCTAGACCCCTAAAAGCTGTGACTCACGACACACACATCCCAGACCTCCCTGCCTCTTAGCACCATTGTCTCCTGAATCCCCACTGCCGACTCTCCCACTCCCCTGCCTTCCAGTTGCCCCCTTTGTCGGTATCCCCTAACTGCTGCTAGTCTATGTTCCCTGGATGTCGTGTCCTCTGACCCAGTGACCCCCTAACCTTGTAGCCCTACTGCCATGTTATCTGACCCCTTGCTCCCTGAGCCCTATTTCCCCCCACCTTGAGCCCCATGCCTCTGACCCTTGACTCGCACCCCTGTCTTCTGTCAGCAGACGGGGCGGGCACCATGAACAAGCTACGCCAGAGCCTGCGGCGGCGGAAACCAGCCTATGTGCCTGAGGCATCGCGCCCACACCAGTGGCAGGCAGACGAGGACGCGGTGCGCAAGGGCACGTGCAGCTTCCCGGTCAGGGTGAGTGGGCGGGGCTCGTGTGGGCGGGGCTGCGGCGGTGTGCGAGCTGTTCGCTGCGCGCGTGCGTGTCCAGTGTCTGTTGTCCGTTGCCCGGTGAGGTGGCTGAGACCCAAGAGACTTCACAGCCCGGAAGAACTGCGGATCCTGCAGAAGCAGGACCACACCGCCCGAGCCCCTTAAAGTTGGGATTAGAAACTAAGACCCATTCTCTTGTGCCAGGAAAATACTAGCTGGGGTGGGGTGGGGGGGCGTCCCGCCTGGAGTCACGCTATCCTATGGGAGCTCACGGATTCCAGGGGGGCACTGGGAGGTCACAAAAATTCTGTAGCGTTTGCAAAGCCCTCTACTGTTAAGTGCGTTCTGGTTTAGACCACCACGACCCTTTACAACACACACGAAAATTTATAAGGTAGACAGCAGGATTCAGGTTCAGTTCTCCACTCATTCCCTTCCTGGTTGGGTGACAACAGACGATGGTCACAGCGCCCCCCTCCCACCTTGTTTTCCCTTCCCCTAGAAGCGGACCTTGCGAGGGAGGGGCTGTTGGGAGGTGCAGGAAATGCTGGTGAGAGTGAGGAAGGGAAGGCAGCCAGTAAAGGGTGTCTTACTAAACTATAGCTGTGAGCAACTGAGCTTGATGCCACTAGGGAACTGTGGGAAATCGAGCCATCCCACCCGCGGGGTGAGGAAGCGTGTGTACCCCAGCTCCTATCAGTCATTGCCTGGGGCCAGTCCTCAGGCGCAGATGCAGACGCTGGCACTCAGAAGGACACCAGGGATGTGTTAAAGGCCAAGGATAGAGGCAGGGTGGGAATCTTTACTCCATGCTGTGCTTCAGTTTTCTCACCTGTGTATCTGGGTTAAGAATGGGGTACCCAGACTGCCCTGGCAGGCCAGGGGTTAAGACTTTGTGCTTCCACTGCAGGGGGGCATGGGTTCCATCCCTGGTCGGGGCTAACTAAGATCCCACAAGCCATGTGGTGCAGCCAAAAAAAAAAAAGGTCCCCACCTTGCAAAGTTGAGGCAAAGAGTAAATGAGTTGGGCTTCCCTGCTGGTGCAGTGGTTGAGAGTCCGCCTGCCGATGCAGGGGACATGGGTTCGTGCCCCGGACCAAGAAGATCCCACATGCCGCGGAGCGGCTGGGCCCGTGAGCCATGGCCACTGAGCCTGCGCGTCCGGAGCCTGTGCTCCGCAACGGGAGAGGCCACAGCAGTGAGAGGCCCACGTACCGCAAAAAACAAAAAGAGTAAATGAGTTAATTCATATGATGTGCTTAGGACACTGTGTGATGCATCGCAGCGGCGCAGTGAGCACTGGGAATGATTGATTACTGTGCTTGTTTCATGCTCTCCCATCCCCTTCGCACCAAGTACCTGGGCCACGTGGAGGTGGAGGAGTCCCGGGGGATGCACGTGTGTGAAGATGCTGTGAAAAAGTTGAAGGCGGTGAGTGAGAGGCTGGAGCAGGGAGGGGGCAGGGTCAGTGCAGAAGAGCCAGCCCTGACCACGCCCTCTGTCCTCCTCCTCCACTCCAGATGGGCCGGAAGTCTGTGAAGTCTGTCCTGTGGGTGTCAGCCGATGGGCTCCGGGTGGTGGATGACAAGACCAAGGTAGGGGGCCCGTGGGCCTGGAGGTGGGCACCAGTGGGCCCCTCTCCTCACCCTGCTCGAATGGGGCTAGGGACGCCTTCTCACCCACCTCTAGGATGTCCCTCCCTCAGAGACCTTCTAGACTCAGCCGTGTGTTCCTGTAACATGTTGGCACCTCTCACGGTCATAATTCAGGATTGAGTCCTGTGGCTATTTGTGAACTAGCATGGATTGTGGGTGAGAGCACAGACTGTAGAGCAGCGACCTCAGCTCGCATCCCAGCTCACCCACTTACCAGCTGGGTGACCCTGGGCATGAGGGGTATGAGATTTAACCCTTCCGTGCCTCGCTTGCCTCATCTGCAAAAATGGGGATAAAAATGGACCCAACCATTAAATGAGAAAGTATATGCAAATAGTTTAAAACTATGCCTGGTACAGCAGAAGTGTTCCGATCAACGAATGTTAGCTGTTTATTGTCCGTCTACCTGGCCAGATGGGAGCACCGTGGGCCGGGATCGGGTATCTGTTTGCTCACCATTGAATTCCCTGCCCCTAGCACAGACACTGCCCAAGGAGACAGCCAGCACGTGAAGACGGTTAAGTTAATGACTGAACAGGATTGACACCCTCCAGCAAGCTTTGCCTGACACCCGTCCAACTTGGGTCAGGCACGTCTTCTTGCTCCCGAAAGGCCCTGAGCCTCCCTGATCCCAACCCTGAGCCCTCTGCCTGTGCCTCCCTCATTACAGCGTGGCTGTGACTCTGGCCAGTCTCCATCTGGTGATGAGTCTGATTCCCGCACTAAACTGGGAGCCCCATGTGAGCAGGGCTCACAGCTGTTTCAACAAGTGCAGGATCCCCACCCCGTTCAGGACAGGATATAGAGCAGACACAAAGGGAATATTAAGTGAATACATGAAAGACAGTACACATGCCTTTCCTGGCCTCCCTGGTGCCTCCCAGGACCTGCTGGTAGACCAGACCATCGAAAAGGTCTCCTTCTGTGCTCCTGACCGCAACCTGGACAAGGCTTTCTCCTATATCTGCCGTGATGGGACCACCCGCCGCTGGATCTGCCACTGTTTCCTGGCGCTCAAGGACTCCGTGAGTATCACCAAAGCCCAAAGCCAGCTGACTGTATCCCATGCCCTGGTGTCCCACGCCCAACCCCAGCCCGCTGTGTGGTATCAGGTGAGTCACTCACCTTACCTCTCCTCTGCATGACCTCATCTGGAAAAGGGAGTGTATTCACAGCCCATAACTTAGAGGATTATTGTGAGACTTGAGGGGGTTGATACAGAGTATTTGGAACAATGCCTGGCATATAGGAAGCGCTCAGGAAAACATTAGTTCTCAGCATCCTCCTTGTTATCAGTAGTTCTTTGTGTTCCTCTAACTTTTCTCATTGAGGAGCATATACATACAGTAACGTGCACAGATGGCCCAGGCACAGCTCCGTGAATTTTTGCTTATTTTTAAACCTCACCCAAGTCAAGCTGTAGTTTCCTGCCCCCAGCAGCCCCCTTGGGCCCTTCTGAAACAACACCCCCCAGGGTACCCACTCTTCCTTCAGAGTCGACTCATTTTGCCTGTGGTTCGTTATATTTTTGGGTGGGAGGGGGGCGTCAAGATCCCCTCTGAGAATCTGATGAAAGAGACAAATGGACTGTCTTCTGAGAAGCATTCTCACAGGATTCTGAGGCTTGTGACAGAAAACCCTCAGATACCAGTGATTTCGGTGAAATAGAAATTTGTGTTTCATGTGAAAGACATCCCTAGGCAGGCAGCGCAGCGTTGGTGTGACTCCTCTCCACTCAAGGGCCATGGCTCCTTTTATCTTGTTGCTATGCTGGAGTATGGCTTCCACTCCATGATCCAAGATGAATGTTCGTGCTCCAGCCTTCACATCTTCATCCCAACTACATAAAGGAGGGAGGCATGAAGAGGGGCACACCCTCTGCTTTTTGGGAGGTGTATATTGGCCTTTTGTGATCTATTGGCCTTTTGTGACCAGCTTCTTTCACTTAGCATAATGTTTTCAAGGTTCATCCATGTCGTAGCATCGTATCAGTACTTACTCCCTTTATATGGCTGAATAATATTCGTATGGATATACTACATTTTGGATATACCATATTTTGCTTACTTATCCATCCATTGATGGACATTGGGTTGTTTCCACCTTTTGGCTATTATGAATAGTGCTTCTCTGGACATTTATATGCAAGTATTTGTTTGAATACCTGTTTTTAATTCTTCTGGGTATATACCTAGGAGTGGAATTGCTGGGTCATATAGTATGTCTAAGTTTTTGAGTAATTGCCAAGTTGTTTTCCTTGGTGGCGACACCATTTTACTTTCCCACTTGCAATGTATGAGGGTTCCAATTTCTCCACATCCTTGCCAACACTTTTTTTTTTTTTATTCTAGCCATCCTGTAGGTGTGAGTGGTATCTCATTGTGGTTTTGACTTGTATGTCGCTAATGACTAATGATGTTGAGCATCTTTTCCTGTGCTTATTGGCCATTTGTATATCTTTTCCAGAGAAATATCTATTCAAATCCTTTACCCATTTTTAATTGGGTTGTTTGTCTTTTTACCGTTAAGTTGTAAGAGCTCGTTATATATTCTGGATACTAGATGCTTATCAGTTACGTGATTTGCAAAACTTTCCCCCCATTCTGTGGGTTGTCTTTTCACTTTCTTTTTTTTTTTGGCCCCGTGGCATGTGGGATCCTAGTTCCCCGACCAGGGATTGAACCTGCGCCCCCTGCATTGCAAGTACAGACTCTTAACCACTGCACTGCCAGGGAAGCCCCATCTTTTCGCTTTCTTGATAGTGTCCTTTGATGTGCAAATGTACACATTTTGATGAAGTTCGATTTATCAATTTTTTTTTGTTATTTCTGCTTTTGGTGTCATATCTAAGAATTCATTGCCAAATCCAAGGTTGTAGAGATTTACCTCATGTCTCATTCTAAGAGTTTTACAGTTTTAGCTCTTATATTTAGGTCTCTGACACATTTTGAGTTAATTTTTGTAAATGGTGTGAGGTAAGAGTCCACCTTCATTTTTTTTCACGTGCATACTGTATCCAGTTGTTCTAGCACCATTTGATAAAGAGACTATTCTTCCTTCATTGAATGGTCTTGGCACCTTATTGAAAATCAATTGACCATAGATGTGTGGGTCTATGTCTGAGCTCTCAGTTATGTTTCGTTGGTCTATATGTCTCTCCTTATGCTAGTATCACACTGTTTTTTTTTTGTTTTATTTATTTATTTATTTGGTTTTGGCTGCGTTGGGTCTTTGTTTCTGCGCGCGGGCTTTCTGTGGTTGTGGGGGCAACTCTTCGTTGCGGTGCGCAGGCTTCTCATTGCGGTGGCTTCTCTTGCTGCAGAGCACAGGCTCTAGGCTCATGGGCTTCAGTAGTTGTGGCACGCTGGCTCAGTAGTTGTGGCGCACAGGCTTAGTTGCTCCACGGCATGTGGGATCTTCCCAGACCAAGGCTTGAACCCATGTCCTCTGCATTGGCAGGCGGATTCTTAACCACTGAGCCACCAGGGAAGTCCCGTATCACACTGTTTTGATTCCTTTAGCTTTGGAGTAAGTTTTTAAATTGGAAAGTGTGAGTTATTCTATTTTATTCTTTTTCAAAATATTTTTGGCTGTCCTGGGTCCCTTGCAATTCCATATGAATTTCAGGGTCAGCTTTTCCATTTATGCAAGAGACCATTGGGATTTTGAAAGGGTTTGCATCCAATCTGCAGAAAATTTTGGGAAATATTGCCCTCTTAGCAATATTAGTCTTCCAATCAATGAACACGGGATGTACTTCCATTTATTGAGGTCTTCTTTAATTTCTTTCAAAAGTGTTATGTAGTTTTCAATATGTATGTCTTTTACTTCCTTGGTTAAATTTATTCCCAACCATTTTATTATTTTAGAGGGTATTGTAAATGGAATTGTCTTAATTTCATTTTTGGATTGTTTGCTGTTTGTGTATATAGATATAACTCATTTTTTTGTGTGTTGATTTTGTATCCTGCAACTTTGCTGAATTTATTTATTTGCACTAACTGTGGATCCTTTTTGATGTTCAACATACATGATCATGCCATCTGCAAACAGAGGTAATTTTACTTCTGTCTTTCCAACATGGATGCCTTTTATTTCTTTTTCTTGTCCAGTTACTCTGCCTAGAACTTCCAATAGAGTGTTGAATAGAAATGATGAAAATAGCATTCTTGTCTTGTTCCTGATCTTAGGGAAAAGCTTTGTCTTTTACCATTGAGGATAATGTTAACTGTGAGTTTTTCTTTTTTTAATATATTTATTTATTTATTTATATTTTATTTTTGGCTGCATTGGGTCTTTGTTGCTGTGCCCAGGCTTTCTCTAGTTGTGGCGAGCAGGGGCTCCTCTTCGTTGTGGTGCATGGGCTTCTCATTGCGGTGGCTTCTCTTGTTGTGGATCACGGGCTTCAGTAGTTGTGGCACACGGGCTCAGTTGCTCCGCAGCATGTGGGTTCTTCCCAGACCAAGTCTTGAACCCGTGTCCCCTGCACTGGCAGGCGGATAACCACTGTGCCACCAGGGAAGTCCTGTGAGTTTTTCACAAATGTCCTTTATAAGGTTGAGGAAGTCCCCTTCTAGTCCACCTTTGTTGAGTGTTTTATCATGAAAGGGTGCTGGATTTTGTCAAATGCCTTTTCTGTGAGAATCGAGATGATCATGTGGGGTTTTTTCTTCATTCTATTAATGTGGTTGATTGATTTTCATATGTTAAACCAACCTTGCATTCCTGGAATAAATCTCACTTGATTCTTTTAATATTCTGCTGGGTTCAGATTGCTAGCATTTTGTTGAGGATTTTTGTCCCCAAGTTTAACTTTAAGAGGTGGCTGAGGGCCTCCCTGGTGGCGCAGTGGTTGGGAGTCCGCCTGCCGATGCAGGGGATACGGG